GAATCAGTAGATGACAAGTACCCACAAGCATAGCTGATCAATGGGATTCGAAACCTTCTTGGCCGGAACTGGGTAGTAGAGATAGCCCATATTTTTAGAGAAGGTAATGTAGTAGCAGATTACTTGGCCTCATTGGGTCATGGTCTTCCCGTGGGGGACCACTCGATCGAGTGCACTTGTTCGATGTTAAACTATTGGCTGTACTTTGATGTGATTAGGGTTCAAACCCCTAGATTGGTTAATAATATATAAAGGCCGGAGTACCCTTTAGCTCTCCGTCTCACACAAAAAAAAAACTAAATGGTGAGTAGGAAATCATCAATATTACCACAGCTGCATCATCCAACTTCCAACCACCAGTTGGAGACAATACAGTTAATCCACCATTCCTCATTAAATCTTACTCATACCATTTCTCCTTATCTTCTGTAGACTTCATGTGCTTCAGAAAGACAACTCATGCTACTCCATTTCATTTACAATGTTTGTTGTTCTTTCCTTTGTATATATAGAGTAGGAACTGTTATGTAAAACTTAAGCTTTCTATCAATAAACACATAAGAAATTTAACATGGTATCAGAGCTAGCAAAATAATAGAGGAGCAGAGCAAGAATCGACACTTCCCCAGAAGAAGACGGTTGTTGGGAAGGGGATTTTCCTCATGGATTTGGTGGACTGGATAAATAAGAACTGAAGAGCAATGGTATGAGTGAGGTTTAATGAGGAATGGTGGATTAATTGTATTGTCTCCAGCTAGTGGTTGGAAGTTGGATGATGCAGTTGTGGTAATATTGATGATTTCCTACTACATGGGATTTCTAGAGTAGTATGGGTATTCTGTTGCACTTGTCTGGTACATATGAATAAATGGTGATGGTATGGTGGATAGTGGTGAATGCTCTAGTTATCAGCATTGATAATTTCCTTCACTCCCTCTCACAATTGGCGACTTATCAGTCCACATTAAAACATGATTTTGCATAACAAAAATGTAAGTCTTCAAGATTAGAGAAAATACAAGAACATAATATAGCAATATAACCTTCACATACTCACCGTAAATACCCATGGCATGAACCAATAATCACTTCTTTGGCAGCCACGATATGCTTGTGTTAACCCAGTGAAAACAGATTAATCACCTAGAAGATTAATCATCAGAAATGTACCTAAACATTATTTCTTTAAAATTGATAAGAGAAATATAAATACTCACTCCGGATTATAGATGGTTTGCATTACCTAAACTAGTGATGATACCACCGCTTGCTCGACCCAGCCCACTCAAAGATCAGTCTGTGTGCCACAACCCAACTCCCGCCATCGAGATAACGAGTAGTTGGGTACAGGTCAAGCTTGTCGTTGTACGATAGTGGTCTTTGTTGAGTCTTGATATTTGTTGAACGAGTCAATCTTTGTTTGCTGTAGTTTTTTGTCAATAAGGTCTCCCACCTTTAGTGGAGGAAGAGGGTAGCTAGACGTGGGAAGTAGTTCCACTTTGTTAGGATTTTCAGTTTGAAGCTTTGATGTATTTGAACGGAAAGAAGGAGAATAACAGGCAAGCATTATTGAGTCAATAGGAACCTCTAGTCGTTCTAGCCAAGAAAGTAGAGCATTGGGCCACTGGCCGACTTCCGCCAAGAAAAGGAAGCTATCCAACATTACAACTTCAACCCTTACCAACTAGCAAACTCTTCTTGTGTAACATGATAAGTGTCAAACTCGACCAACCTGGTACTACATAATCTCAGAAGATAGTCATGTGTATATTAAAATTGTGATAAAAGGACATTTAATCCGTTATATAAGGAAAATCCAGACTCTACCTTTAAGTATTTCTTAGAGATTTTTTAGTGAATAAAAATATCCAGTGATTCTCAGTATAATCTAACAGTATATGCACAATATCGTCATCTATGATCTTTTAAAAAAAAATTATACTTACTAACAATCAAATTGTGAATACAAACATATGCAAATTGAGATGAAAAAATCACCATTGCACACTATTAGACATCATATATTTTTTCTAGTTTCGCCGCCTTTCTTAGGACCTGTACGTCCTCCTCGAGATTTTGCCGGTGATGGTTCTGGACGGACAAAAGGGGACAAGAGTTGTGGACCGGTTTTAAGAGTTTTAGGATTATGAAGTCATGTCATTTTATTCTCTCTTATTTGAGCATTGGGATATGCACTCATGAGTGCCTCAAATGAATCCGATTCAACTTCAACCTACAACATTGGAAAACATCATTACAAGTAGATAAAGTAAATACTTCATAATATGTTAATTAAACACCTTAACGGTCTTACAGCTTGTTCTGCATTTCTCTTCTTTAGTTTTTGAGATGGGCTCTCTTTATTAGATGTCACGAACCCTAGTTTTACCTTAAAGACAAAACAATTACATTTACAAAAAAAAAAAAAGATTTGCTACACTCTTATAATTAGGGGTGATAAACGGTTAGTCGGTTATCGGTTTTAACCGATAACCGAACCGATAATGTCGGTTAGTGGTTAACCGATAACCGCTACTTCTTTATTGATTTCGGTTTCGGTTAGTAGTATTTTGGTTAGTGGTTAACCGCTAACCGATTAATCGGTTAGCGGTTAACCGATAAGAAAACCGATAACCGCCTACTAGTGTGACTACATGGTTTTTTACTTTGGCTAAGGGAAAAAGTTGTAAGATTCAAAACCAATCAAAGTTGCAATTCCAAACATCCCAATTCTCACCTATTGCAAACAACCCTCCATCAAGAGTCTCAAATGTTTTTAAGAGTTAGAACTCGAAAGTCACCCCTCTCTAAATCCCCTTTGCACTCAATAGAGTGAACCTTAGGTTGATGACTATGGGCTAGATGAAGATCTTGGAGTAAATGATGACTATGGGCTAGATGAATTGGAGCGAGATCCTCGGATCATTTAGGTTGATGATTTGGAGATAATGAACTTGTTATTTGTGTCTTGTTGTGATTGTGACTTGTGGTTAGACTTTATGTTGTGGAGTTGTGGTTGAATTGTGTGGTTGCTTTAGGCTTTATGCTCAATTGATTTAGATGACTTTATGGTGTGTGATTATAGAGGCTGAAACAAAAGCAGGTCACTCAAAATTGAGGGTGAATAAGTAAAAATGTGGTTGAAATTCGGTTTTGGGTGGTCGGTTTCTGAACGAAAACCGAGAAAGTGAACCAGAAACTGCGGTTTCGGTTAACCGCAAGGAAAAACCGAAACCGATGTTTGCGGTTTTCGGTTAACCGAAGTCTCTGTCGGTTTCGGTTTCGGTTAGTGATATTGGGACAATTTTGGTTGCGGTTAACCGATATTTCGGTGCGGTTAAACCGAAACCGCACCGACTAACACCCCTACTTATAATGATGTCTTTGCCAAAGGTAACACAGTCGAGTTGGTCGGGAGTGTGGTCTTTCGAATTTGAGATGTGTGAGATCTCAGGTTCGAACCCCGCTACACCACTTCATGTTTCCGGAGGCACCGCGAGTGCTGGAGACGAAGTCTCCCTTCAATATCGAGTTCGAAGCCTTGAAAATATTGCTGATGTAGGTACTCTCCAGGTTTAGTAGACCCCGCTGCCACAACGTGGCACGTGGGGTTGATTTTCCTGGATAATAAAAAAATAATGATGTCTTCAAATATGAAAGCATAACTACATTTTCTTTTTCTTCAATTCTGATAATTTTATAGGTGAGTTTGCATCATTTGAAAGCTCCGCCATATCCACTTACATCTTCAGATTATTCAACTTATCATATATGATTAGTTGAATTCTCATTTGAAGTAAAATTATCTTCATTTTCTTTGTTTACAACGCTCCTGCACTTTTCAAATGTGACAGCTTCCCCCACTGTCTTCTTATTAATAACTTTATTAAAAGCTGGACTCTTTGAAGTGGATTCATTCAATTTATGGCTCCTTACAGGAACGGGTATAGAATCATGGTCTCTTATTTTGTTCCAACTCCCTGTGGCAGTTGACTTTGAATGAAAGCAATGTTGTCATTACTTGTGAGATTGAAGATGAGATTTCCTCCTTAAAAGCGCATAATTTTGACCTAGTGAACTCTGATTCTTTTTTTAACTGATTTTTAAGTTCAATAATCTCTGCTCTAACATCCTGGTTGAAAAATAAACAAAATGACACCGAACTGCTAAGATGAAAATTACATAAATAAACAACATATGAAAATCCAACCTCAATTGTATAACAACTTGCAGGATCTCTTCCAAATTCCACCTACATAAAGAGATATATCCAATGTAAAAAATCAATGCATGATAATAGATCTTATTCAACAATAAAAAAAACCTTATTGGCCTAGTACATACCTGGATGCTATCATCCCCATCTAATCGATAAACATTTTTAACAACCTTCAAAATGGAGTTGTCATCCCAAATTCGTATGATCAGTAATGAACTTGAGTCACGAGCAAAGTTATGCAATTGCACATGGTCCAGGTAAAATATCAACATAAAATGTAGCATTAATTCATATTCTATCAATAATATCTATATATTTTGATTGATACATTAAAGTTAAACAAACAAATTGGTATTTACCTCCAGTAATAACATGCATCCTGTCACAGATTGAATAACTACTTTAAGGTGATGATAGAATATGAATTAATGGATTATAAAATGGTGTCACAGATTCAGTGAAAGGAATAACTAAATGGATTATAAGAATTTATTTATTTTATTATTTATTTTCACGTTATCCATAGTTGTTGGGCCAACATCTTGAATAACTACTAACTAAATGAGCATGTACTGCACCAAATTTGCTTCAGTAAATGCGAAAAATTAGGAAGTTAGTTAGGTAAAAAAAATTGATTATAAGAATATATAATTTTTTATCATTTATTTTCCACATCATCCAAAATAGTTGGTGCCCATTGCAGCCGGGAACGGCGACGGCCCTTTTCCCTTCCTTTTATAAGCTTTTCCCTTCTGTTAACCGCAACAAACCAACATAATCAGATGTACCAAAGAGCGTAGTTTGGAAAGCGACGTAACAACCAGCCAGAAAGGAAGCAATCACCATTTCCCCTCTCTTCTTCTTCTTCTTCCTCTGCTCTCTCTGCTTCAGAAGATCAAAATTCTTAGGCGGGAAGCCGATTCAGAGAAGTTCTTGCTACCATGTTGACTACCGTTGTTCCCATTCACGCGCCGCCGGTGCTCTTGACCTCCCCGACCTCCTCCGAAAGCATTCACAAGCTCTCCACTATCACCGCTTCTTGGAGAATGTACGAATACAACGACACTTTTCTCTTCTCTTTTTCTGTTTCTTTGCTCGGTTCTTTCTGTTCCTTTTCTTCTCTCTGGGGATTGGGTGGGAAATTAGAGACCGCCATTGATTCGATTTTTTTCCCTTTCTTTCTCGGGAAGTCCCTGATTCTGTTCTTGTTTGGATATCTTCCGTCCGAGTTTCAGTTCGATGAATTATGGGTCTTTCCAGACCAAGAAGAGGGAAGAGCTTTTGTTACCCGTACAACACGCCACAGCTTTTGATCCAAAAGGGGACGACACGCCCAAACTGCCTGATCTGCGCTTTGATTGCCTGCAGATACCCGAGCAGGATTTGGTGGACGTTGACAAGATGGAGTTCGGACAATTCGTTGCTAGAGAGGCTTTAATTGATGAAGAATAGTGGGTAAAGCGCTCTTTCTAATTCTATCCATCGTTTCCCTGTTGATTCCCCGTCTAGGTTTTGCTGCAATTGGGGTTCCTTCATCTGGGTACTGTTTGTTTTCTGGAAAATAAAACCTTGAGAATCATCTTGTTATCCTTCGCACTTCTTTTGCTGCAATTGGGGTTCCTTCATCGGGGTTCCGTTTGTTTTCTGGAAAATAAATACTTGAGAATCATCTTGTTATCCTTCGCACTTCTTGTTTCGATTCTTGGCCACACTATCATGATGTGATCGTGGTCCATTGCAGTTAATCTGATGCTGAGCAATGACTCCAATGTTTGCTTCTTGTGATTGCCCGCAGGTGGCAACCTTCATGCGAGCTTATAGCCACTTGGAGAATCGAGATAAATACAGGTACGGTAAAATCCATCCAAGCTGCCTTTTACTAATTCCCAATTTATGTATTGTTATGGTCCTCTTCTTTGATTCTTGTTCATGCCGTTCGTGTCCACTTGTTGGTTCAAATTGATCGCCTTTCACTTGAAAACTTGATTGTAGTGCGTTTGGAATTGAATGATTCATTGTTAAGGTTAAGACCAGTAATCAGACCCTAATGATTTTGGCCTATATCTGATGAACACAGATCTGCTCGTAATCTGAAGATGAAATATGCGAATGGGTAGCATTTGTGGACTTTTCTTTACTCTTCTTCAGTTGGCTTCTTCTGGTATAAACAAGGATTCCACTGAATTATCTATTTACTGGCTCTGTTTCCTTAATTGGTGGCAGGAGTTCCTTGACATTAGAAGGCGATCCATTGGTCCTTTTGGCCAACAGTTTAAGTGCATAATCACAGTACGTACTTCCTTCGCCTTGAGTTGTATATCTTTGCATAGCAGCATGAGGGAAAATCATTACAAAGTCATCCTCGTTGTTTCTTTTCTTAGCTGAGAAAGCAAGGAGGGATGGTGAAACCCATAATACTGAGGAGTGTGGTTGGGACTTTGGACTTGAGCATCCGCTGGTTGCTGCTTGGAGAGATCTTCCCTGGGGTATATGGAAAGGCTCCTCACTTGGGCAACATCCACGGAGGAGGGGAAGACATATACGGTTACGTCTCCAACTTGGTGGTCGTGGAGTTTGCTCGTCGTCGTGGGATAGCAACTAACATGATGCAGTTTGGAACTTAGAAATGGCTCGTTATTACAGTTTGTGCGGCCTAATTTGTGAATACTGTTGATTCTGGTGGCAGGTGTGGAACTTCTGTATGTTCATGTGGATAGAAACAACAGACCTGCACAGCAATTTTATGAGAAGACGGGATTTGAGGTTAGTCCAGTAGCGAACCATTTATCAGTTGCTGCCTAGTTACTCAGCTTGGTTCTCGTTCGTTTGTTTGTCCGTCTTTCTGACTTTGATTATATGTCTGCCAGATGATTGAAGAGGCAAGTGATGGACGGGTGGAAGACAACACTTACCTCCTACGAAGCATTTTGTAAAGATGAGTACAGATTTTGAGATACAGGAAAGGAGTTTAGTGTACAGAGCAAAGAAACAACACTGCTTAGGCCAGAGTTTATTACTAGTTTTGCAAGGAATTTGATCTGATAATATGTGTAGGCTTAGATTTGGCAATTCAACACCAACCTCCACACAAACATTTATTGAGAGGGAAGCATGCCAACACCATGTATAGATCTATTACAGTTTCAGAACAGTACTTTGTACATAAAGCTGATGTCCATTACTTGCTACCAGTGACTACTTCAGGTTTAATACAAATACATGGTGTCTCATTCGATTCAATCATAAACTGTAGCATTTGCTATTTGTAAAGCAAAAGGAGGTTACTTGCACCCTTCAAAATTTGAGATTTACTTTCCACCTTTGAGACAAACAGGAGGGTATTTACATGCAGTGATCATTAAAACAGGGTATTAGCATCTTCCCCAAAATGGCTTCTTACTTCTTAGGACCTGTTTAATCCGAGAGTAAATAAATACACATCCTACTGCTCACTAACTAGGTTCAAAACAGGTCGATCCTTGATATCTAACAGAAGTTCGAATTCCATGGAGGAGAGCACTGATGTATAATGCGCTGGGAAGGACTGTGCATCTCTGACATTTGCCAGTGCTGGAGACATCTTCATCCCAATGATTTCCACTACTGGATTCGAGTGACCACTTAGTAGCACATCTGTCAGCTGTTCTGGAACAAAAACACAATCACCCATGTCAGTTGTTTCAAATGAGATGGAAAAAAATGTTTTGTCTGATTTTTTGTTTTATACATCTGTTTACCTTATCACACCCAAAGATCTTGAGCACCTTCAGTGACGGGTAGCTATCCACAATCAACCCAACCGCCTCGTCTGCCAAATTCTGACACCATGATAGATCCAAACTCTGCAAATTTCTTTCTCGTCTAGCAACTGATAGTGCAGTATTGTGGCTAACCTGATAACAAACATAGAAGACAGATAAAGAAGATAAGCAATGGATATGATTGCTTTTTGCACTAGGCTTTCTGCCAAGACCGACTAATAGCGGTGTGCGAGAGCCTTCCTCTTCCATCAAGAGTTGGAAAAAAAGGACTGTGTTGAGTCAAACCATCATGAGTTAAACATGAAAAAAGAAAATTCATGAAACATTGAGTTAGATACAATTCTATTTATCTGAATCCTCAATACCATATGTCATCATCATCAGAATATTCTTCGATAAACTCTCACCTGCTTGACATTATTCAGTGAAAGATATTTCAACGACTCCCTAAAGGCTTCTATGAATGCTGCAATAGCTTCATCATTGTTCAAAAAGAACAAGAGAAAGGGAGCATTAGAAAGAAATCACTGAGTTTTAGTAAGCCAAAAAAAAGGAACCGAAAGAAGGGAAGTTCCCAAAAAATACCAATGCCCCTGGAAACTATCAATAACTTTCCGAGACTAAAAGATTCTCAAATCGTGACATAATCTACCAGAAATTGTTGCGACAAAGTTTCAAAGTTTGAATTTTTTTTACACCCATTTGCAAGATATCCCAGTGCAGAATCAGTCAACTGCCTCAGATTTGAAAGGTTGAGTGAGTTCAGGCGAGGACATGCTGTAACTACGGCTTTCAAGGAAGAATCAATCAATTTCCTGCAGCATACTTCCAACAGTCAGCATAAAAAACAAGGGGAAGTATGGAAACTGGAGGGGAGAAAGATTAACTTTCAGGGGACAAAGATACATACACACAGTCAGAATAAACAAGCTCCTTCGTCGCATGGCCACACACAGCAACAAAGCACGTAATGAAGTCATCAGAGACAGTCTCAACACCTCCCACTGATAGAACTTCCAAGATTTTCAAACTTCAGCAATGCAGAAAACATAAGCATAGCATCAATGTTTTGGTCAGTCATTAAGGTACAGTTCTTGCAAAGTGGAACCCAATGAGTCCCCCAAAATGCTTATACTAGTTGCCGAAACAAGGGAGCATTGGCTAAGATTCGAGCATCTTAGTGAATGAGCAGCAGAAACAAGTGATCTAAGTCCACCATCTGAAAGGCCATAAGCACCATTCAGGGATAAAGTATTTAATACAGGCATGCTGCCTGGAGACACAGCTAAGGTAGAACGTAAAACATAATCAGGTATGCCTCGCCCAGAATAGTCAAGTTGAAAAACCTGATAAGAAGACAAAACGCAAGTCTACTTCAAAAGAAGTGTACTCGTTGATAATAAAGAAACAATGAGATTGGGACATTACCATACTATGTGCAAAGAATAACAATTGAAACATTGGCCAATCAATCTTTAACCTTCTACTCTCCCTCAGTGGATTGCTCAGCTACTTCAACACTAGGAGGAGCCTCCTGACACTCTTGAGCTTCGAAATGAGCAAATCGAGCAGAGCATTCTTTCATACCCAAATACCCGTTTACTACCCCTATCTTCGCCATGTTAAGGCCGCAGAGGCGCAGACCCATTTCTAAAACAAAGCATGGGGAAACTCGCGCTCAAAACTTGGTGCGCCTCTCAAATCATATTTCAAAAAATATGCCAACGTTTATAGTTATGACCACAACGACGTCGTTCGACGCTCTGGAGGTGTAATCGCTCCAGCCGGCGTGCGGTGTCTCTGGCCTTCCATTCCAAGTTCCAGGCTCCGCGTTTCCTCGTAGATTTGTCCTTCCCACCCACCCCTTCCGTGCCTTCGGTTCGAACTTCGAACCCTACCCCTTCGGCGTTTGTTCTTCTTCCTCCTCCTTCGCAATGAAGCTCGTCAGGTCAGCTTCTCTTCCCTTCCTCGCAACTCTGCTCTCTTCGCCTCCTTGTGGTTTCCTTTGATATTGTTTTCTTATGCTCAATACTCCACTTGGCTGCAGGTTTTTGATGAAGCTGAACAACGAGACTGTTTCAATTGAGCTAAAGAACGGGACCGTTGTCCATGGCACCATTATAGGTTCCCCCTCTCCTTTCCTCAAATCATCTCATGCTATTTATGCGGTTGGGCAGGTTTTTTATTTTTTGCTAAACCCTAGTTTTTTACTTATTTGTGAAGACTTTCATTTCCGGATAATTAAGTTTCGGCTTTACTAAGTTGTTTCGTGACAGAATGATTGAACCGTATTTGTGAGAGCAAATAATAATGTTATTGTAGTACTAATTTTGCAACCATTTCGCCGAGGGATTTGGTTCTGGTGTGGAAGTGTGGTGTAGGTGATAGGCTCTTCGTTTTCAGTTAATCGGCTCTGCCTATGGATGCTTGTTAAGGATGGGGTTTTTTTTTTGGGTGTTTTCCCAGCTGATGCCTTACTGAGTTACTCGAATGTTAAGTCGTCTTAATTGTTCTTATGGTTGAAACTAGATTTAGCTCGAATGAGATTTCGATCATCTGACTTAATCTGCGGTCACTAGTTACTATTACTAGTCTATTTGCACACAATAAATGGTTATTTCGAGCTTCAATGACCGTAAATATGTACTTTACCTATCTCATTGTACCAAACTATTGCTGAGGCCCGGAGATGTCACTGTTAAGTTGCTAGATCTCGTAGTAACGTATGAGTGTGCTTCTTCTGTCCTGGTGGTATAGACCTGTGGTTGGGGATATTCTTTTGCCTGTTCCTTTTCTTGTTTTCCTCGTTTCATTCCTTTGTGATATTGCACGGGATTTAAGTACATTTCGTGGTTAGTATTGAATTATTCATAAAAAAGATGATGCTTCATGAGCTATCTGTTGTCTGCTTGCTTGATAAACTTATATTTTCATCCATCTGCTATCGTTCTTTGTTCTTCCCCTTCGCTGTCTGCAATCTGAGTTTTGACAGTTGAATCCCCCCCCCCCCCCCCCCAAGTTGATGCGAAGGAATTGTTCGTTGCATTTGAAATTGGCTGGGTTGTATATTTCCTTAATTGCATGTTGTTGCAGTTGACATCCTCCAAAAACTTAATGATGCATTAGTGTGCAACTATTTTTTCGTTAGTGTATATTGTATCAGAACAGTGAAACAAGACATGTGAAATCTACTGCCTCAGTGTTGCATGTGTTCATATACTTTTAAAGCCCGTGCATTGGAGTTGGAGATCACATAGCTTTGGTGCAATCGAGTTTCTTTCTGTTATATATGAGATTCACTTCTCTGGTTGTAGATTGCATAACTTTGCTGTTAACTCTGCTGAAATGCCTTCATTTACACAGTTCTTTTCCACTTCTCTAGTTGTTGAATGTTTCAAGGAAAACGTTCGTTATTTTCCCTTTTGTCTCTTCTTACATCACTATGACCTGAGCACCTGACATAAGCTGCACTCCTGTGAGTTATCATTTGTTGTGCATCCATGCCTGAGTATGGTGTTCCTTCCTTGTACCTGTTGGCTAGAGCACAACATTTCTTAGGTTCCTAATAACCTATTATCTTCTGCCCATTCAATGTTTCCTCGCATTTGCTTTATATGCTCTGCAAGTCTGCATCCGAGTTTGTTGATTTGCTTTAGGGTGCGTTTGGATACAAGGATTTGGATTTTGTATTTGTGATTTGGATTTTCAAATACCAAATCATGTGTTTGGATATTAATTACATTTGGTATTTGGATTTCGGTCAAATTCATGGGGTGATTTCCAAATACATGTCTAGTGTATTTTTTGTCAACTTCAAATACATTTCAACAACTAGTGATTTGAAATACCTCCTAACAAAAGAATGGACCTATTTGTAAAATATGAAAAGTTTAGGTACTATAGTGTGAGGCAAAACATATAAAGGTACCAGAATGTAATTTTACCATCAAAATTTCAGGACCTTTTTGTGAAATTTTAAAAGTTTAGGTACTAAATTGTAAGAAAAAATAATTTTGGGTGCCAAACTGTAATTTACCAAAATTTGTAGTAAGTGACCAGAAAATTAGAAATTGAAATTGAAAATCATAAATACAAAAATACAAACAAATTACAAATGAGTATCCAAACAATGAATTTGAATTACATGTATTTCAAATGCTAATACTTCAAATACATTCATTTCAAATGCTAGTATTTCAAATACCTTACATTTAAAATACACTTATCCAAACGCACCCTTAAAGAGAGATCGCATGGGTTATACTTACATAGATTATTGATACATGCAGCTCTATAGTTAATATATAATTAAATTAATTTGATTTTGCCAACAACAGGTGTGGACATCAGCATGAATACTCACCTGAAAACTGTGAAGCTAACACTGAAAGGGAAAAATCCAGTCACTCTGGACCACCTCAGCGTTCGAGGCAACAATATCCGGTATTACATTCTTCCTGACAGCTTGAATCTTGAGACATTGCTGGTCGAAGAGGCACCTAGAGTCAAACCTAAGAAGGCAACTGCTGGTATTATCACAATCTCCCTGGTCTTGCTAGAATGCTATGGATCAGAATAATTTTGTTTACTAAAATCTGATTGTTGGATGCTGTGCAAAATGCAGGAAGGGCTTTGGCTCGTGGTCGGGGTCGCGGCCGTGGTCGTGGACGTGGTCGGGGGCGATAGTCGAGTTGCGGTTGGGTGGAATGTTTTTGGGTTTGGTGTAAACAATTTCTGTTGTAACTGGAATTTGTGTAGCCAATTACTTGTGGGTAAGCGAGGTGTAGCTGCTGTTTATGTTTGAAACTCCATTTGTTTAAAGCATATTCCGACAGGGACTCAGGGAGTGTTGTGGTTCTGGATTTGAGTAATTTTGTTGCTCGTAGGAGTGGGAACATTCCGGAGAAAGCTATATACTTGTCTTACCTGCTTGATGAACTGTCCAGTTCGATCTATGTTGCAATTTGGTGTCAATTGGCTGACCATCATATTTCTATGTTCACTATAGTGTAATAACTATGGATGCAAGGGGAACGGATGTTCGTTCTATGTTGCAATTTGGTGTCAATTGGCTGACCATCATATTTCTAGGATAATTAGCATAAATGGTAACAAACCTTTGTACTTAGTACAAAATGGTCACAAACCTTTTATTTGTAACAATACGGTAACAAAACTTTGAAATTGTATAAAATGGTCACCGCTATTTAATTTATGACCGTTTTGTTTTAAGTGCAAAGGTTTGTTACCGAATCGTTACAAATTAAATGTTGGTCATGTTTTGAGGTCAGATAGTTTGTTTGTTAAGTATATGACACTAACCACTTGAACGACATATAAGATGTCAGGTCATGTGTGTATCGACATATTTGCTTTGCAGAATAAGAATGCCCTCAGTTGACCTTTCAATTTCGATACCAAGAAAGTAAGAAAGTAGACATAGTTTTTTCAACTAAAAAGCAGTCTGGAACCCGTTTGTGAGCCATTGAGTTCTCTCATTGTCATCCTAAACAACATAATATCATTCACATACATTAACAAAACCACCATACAATTAAAGTGAATTGTAACGGTGATTGAGCGTTCAAACTTTTGAACTTAATTTGTACAAAACGGTCACCAAAAGTCTAATTTGCAACGATACGGTAACAAAAGTTTGAACTGGTATGAAATGGTCACACTGTTTAATTTGTGACCGTTTTGTTCTAAGTAAAAAAGTTTTGTTATCAAATGGTTACAAATTAAAGGTTTGTGACTGTTTTGTACTAAGTGCAAAGGTTTGTGACCATTTATGCTAATTACCCCATATTTCTATGTTCACTATAATATTGTGTAATAACTATGGATGCAAGGGAACGGATCAGGTCAATAACCATGAGTAACCTGTTCACATCAGTATGATATCAACATCCCTCTTTCTTGGAAAGCGTTTAATCCCCTCTCTAATTTTTGACGAACGATTTCACTCGTTTTAAGTCAAAATTTAATTTTTTTTGCATAGTTAGATTAGATTAATTGTGTTTTTCAAAATGATATCCACTTTGATATATTTTTCGAATAAAATGAATTGAGCCATTTTTTACCGTCTATATCATATGGTATTGACTGGTATTGAAATAAGAGTATACCTATGTTTGAAAAGCGTACCATGGTGGTATGAACAAACTAAGACTGTAGGATGGTTGAATAAGAAGTATATTAACTATCAATTACGACTTTTAACATTGTGTACCACAAGATACCACCCCGTACCAGGGTGGTATTGTATGATATTGTGTGGTATTTTTTGGTCCTGTAATTTGGTTACCCAGAAATTTGTAGATCCAATAGATCATGATGAACTCGTCCCTTTCTGCAAACGTTTTCAAAAACGAATTAAAAACGAAGAAGATACTATATGATATGCAGTTGGTACCTAGATGTCATAATTTTTTTTCTCTAAAAAATATTGAAAATTGATCTCATTTTGTAGAGCACAATGAACTCGTTCCATCTGTGCAAAAAAAAAAAATTAAAATCCGTGTTAAAACGAAAAAGATATGACCCGATTAAGAAAGCTAGGGAATAAAAAGGACCTTTAATTCTCCATCCTTAGATATGGATTTTCTAAATAAAGGGTCCAGATTTGGTTATTGATTGGTGCATACCCATGGTTATGCACCCTATCTTGAGCCGAATGTAAGTCTATTGTTCTATCGTTAGGGATGGATGTAGAATTAGGAATTTGTGGAAGATTAGAGATTATAAGAAAAGAATTAAGAAAGGATTTGAGGAAGAATAGGGATGACAATTTCGACCTGACCCGTTTTACCCGACCTGTTTGACCTATTTTGGGGCGGATCCGACCCGCCCCGTAGACGGGGCGGGGCGGGCATGGGTAGTATCATCGACCCGGCCTGCCCTGACCCGCCCCATTCTCGACCCGTTCTTGTCTAAATTACATGTAATTTTAGTCATATTACTTAGAATTTTCCTTTTATTGCATCATATTTTAGCTGTAATAAATTTATAAATGAGTAAAAACCTCAATTTCTCCAATAATTTAACTACAATTGTCATAATATTGTTTGTTTTCTTAGTCTTATAATAAAAATAACGAATATTTCTAATGTTTTTCATATAAATTACATACCCATTGGGTCGACCTGCCCCGACCCGCGACCCGTGATCAATTACCCGACCTGCAACGGGGCGGGGTCTTGATACCAAGAAATCCGGCCCGGACCTGCCCATTGCCATTCCTAAGGAAGAACAAGAGGGACAAGAAGAAGGCAAAGTCTGCAAACATAACGGAAAGGAGAGGGTTTTGGCTGCAGATTGCAGAACGGAGAGAGAAGATTTTTGGGGAACTCAAATCATTCTAATTACTCATAATTTAACCCCATAAGTCCATAACGGTTGGACTTCTACTTGGGGTAATTACCTTAAACGGTCACAAACCTATACATTTTGTACAAAACGATCATAAAACTTTAATTTTGCACGATTCGGTAACACAACTTTGTACGTGTAACGAAACGGTCATTTCCGTCAACTTCCATCCAAAAACTTAATAGAGAGTTGACTTGGCTTCTACGAAGTTGCTTAGTCAGCAAATAAATAATACAATATCATTTATTATTTATTTTAATTATTTCTGTCTACCTATCCTATAAAGCTTGAGGTTCCGATGTCCTTTCCCCTTTCCCTTCGGCAATCAAAGCTCTTTCCCCTTCCCTCTGGCAACCGGGTAACCCTCCCCTGGTGACCGACCTTTTGTCTCCTTCCCCATCTCCGACATCGATCCAACCCGCCATCATTGCAACGATCTTCTTCCCAAGCGAGCTGTCTGTTCGCTCGATCTGATACTAACAACAGCATGTTCGCTCATCTTCTTCTCAAGAGAGTTTCGACCCTTTCCCACACAACAATGGCGCGTTGATAGTTGTCCGCCAACCTCCTCTTTTGGGAGACTGCTTCTCTTTTGTCTCGCTTGGGGAAGGGGGGGATTGGAGATTTTTCCAGAAATAGCACTGTTTAATTTTTTTTTCCAAAAATAGCACCCAACTCCGAAAAATTCCAAAAATAGCACCATTTTTGTAAAACCGCCACCCGGAGGTGCGTTTTTCGATGAAAACCGCACTGGTAGGAAGCGATTTTGCAGACCGCACCCCCAGGGTGCGTTTTGGTTGCAAACCGCATCCCCAGGGTGCGTTCTGCCTTTTTTTTTTTTTTTTTGCAAACCGCACCCCCAGGGTGCGTTCTGCCTTTTTTTTTTAAAAAAAAATCCTGACTTAGGTGGAAACTTCAAACGAACGTATCTTTATGTTCGGGTATCCGATCGTCGCGATTTTTTTTTTGATTCCGCATAACTTTTTGAGATCTTGCAAGCCGAAGACTGCCAAAGGTGGTTTGGTCTCGCCTTCGTCCCAAAAAATGTCGTTTGCTACCCTGAACGAACTTTTTTCCGATTTCGTCAAACTTTGGACAACCATAACTTTGTGCTCCAAAATCCAAAAGTCATGAATTTTTTTTTTATTTCGCATAAATTTTTAAGGAATACAACTTTTATCATAGACATAATTTCAAAATGTACGTGGATTGCTGAGAAGGGAAGATAAGCTATTCCCAAAATCCTGTATATCCAAAAATAATTCCTGTTTTGAAAATACATTCCTAGTAAAAATTGTATTCCTTAAAAAGTTATGCGAAATAAAAAAAAATTCATGTCGTTTGGATTTGGAGCACAAAGTTACGGTTGTCCAAAGTTTGACGAAATCGGAAAAAAGCTCGTTCGGGGTAGCAAACGACATTTTTTGGTATGAAGGCGAGACCAAACCACCTTTGGCAGTCTTCGGCTTGCAAGATCTCAAAAAGTTATGCGGAAAAAAAAAAAAAATCGCGACGATCGGATACCCGAACATAAAGATACGTTCGTTTGAAGTTTCCACCTAAGTTAGGATTTTTCAAAAAAAAAAAAACGCACCCTGGGGGTGCGGTTTGAAAAAAAAAAAGGCAGAACGCACCCTGGGGGTGCGTTCTGCAAAACCGCTCCCTACCAGTGCGGTTTTCATCGAAAAACGCGCCCTCGGGGGGCGTTTTCATCGAAAAACGCACCTCCGGGTGGCGGTTATACAAAAATGGTGCTATTTTTGGAATTTTTCGGAGTTGGGTGCTATTTTTGGAAAATAAATTTTAAACAGTGCTATTTCTGGAAAAATCTCGGGGGATTGATTATGGATTTGTTGGGAAATATTTTGTCCGCCACTGTCCACTTGTTGCCGATGGGGAAGATGAGATTAAGTGAATCAGAAATCGGCCAGGTTATTTCCGACTATGTGGTTATTAATTTCATAGCGGCCAGGTTAATTCCGGCTTCTGTTGCCGGCGGGAAAGGGCGTCGGAAGGTATGCAGGGTAGGTGAACTGAAATAATTAAAATAAGGGTTAATATTTTCGTATGGCCTGAACTTTGACCAAAATAAACATCCTGGCCAATCTTTTCGATCTATAACATCCTGGCCCGAACTATACACCAAAATAAACAATTTGGCCAAACCCAATGTTTGACCGTTAACTTGGACGGTCAAACGCGTTGACTAACGGTCAACGCGCCACGTCACTGCCAAGTCAGAAGATCTGATAAATATTTAGTTTTTTTCATTTTTTATTTTTGGTTTAACTAAGGTATTAGATGATTTTCTTAAATTTATAATAATTTAAAATTAGGAAATATGTGGAAATTGTGAATTATTTTAAATATTTTATGCTGACTTGGCAGTGACATGGCGCGTTGACTAACGGTCAACGCGTTTGAACTTCCAAGTTAACGGTCAAAAGTCGAATATGGCCAAATTATTTATTTTGGTGTATAGTTCGGGCTAGGATATTATAGATCGAAAAGATTGGTCAGGATGTTTATTTTGGTCAAAGTTCAGGCCATACGAAAATATTAACCCTTAAAATAAACAATAGATAAATTTTATTAATTATTTGCTGACTAAGCAACTTAGTTGGAAGCTAAGTCAGCACTCTGTTAAGTTTTTGGATGTGAATAGACGGAAATGACTATTTCGTTACAAGTACAAAATTGTGTTACCAAATCGTGCAAAATCAAAGGTTTGTGACCATTTTGTACAAAGTGTATAAGTTTGTGACTATTTTTTATAACTACCCCTTCTATTTGTAAATGGAAATGGGAGGTCCTCCCCGCCGGCCGGCCGTGTCTCCCAACATCGGCGCTCTGCTGCCGCCTCCGACGCGGTGGCTTTGTTTTCTGGAGTTTTTCTGTCCTTGATAAGGATAAGTTTCCTTTGGCTGCCGAACTGTTCTCTCCGATGGCGGAAATTCCACCGTCCGAAAAAACGAAGAAAGAAAAAAGATAAAGGAGAGAAGGAAGATAGCTTTATACTCCTTCCCACTCAACCGCCACATCTTCTTCCTCCAGCCGGTGATCCAATCCCGACATGTTAGGATGACGATGATGATGGTGGTCTTGCAGCCTACGCCGAGCTGCAGTCTTTCCTGTTTGATTGGTTTCGACATAATTCTCAAAATTGATTGCTAGTTCAACGCCGGAAAAGAGATTTCGTGTTTCGTTTTTTATCAATTCGTTAATTGATTTCGTATTCGATAATCGGTTGTTCAATTGATGCATATGGATGGATTAAATTCATTTTTACTACATTATCTATTATGAAATCCAATCAATTCAGAATTAGAAAGTCAGGGTTCATCTCAGCCAAACAACAAGAGATATTAGTTCTTAACACTATGTTCATTAAGGGCGGAAAGGGGAGGGGAAGGAAAAAGGGGACAGAAAGCGCGGGTACCAAAAACTTTTCCTCCGTTTTTTAAGGCATCTACAGTAAGGGAGGAGAGGAAAGAGGAAAGAAAATAGACTGTAGAAAGCTCTCCTCCGATTTGGGAGGAAAAGGAGAGAGAACGTGGGTTGCTCTTATAGAAATTTTGTTATTCTTTTTTCATTAATTCAAAACAGAAAAGGAAGTTCTTTTTTTTTTTTGACAAAAGATAATCTTATATTAATATAAGCAAACGAAAGTTACATCCTGGAATCAAGCCAGGTACGAAAATCAAAACTCCAACTCATAGTCGGGTACAATGAAAGGGCCTTTCTAGCCACCACATGGGCTACCCTATTGTTACGCCGACCTACAAATCGTACAGAAAAACCAGGATGGGCCTGAAAATAATATCCTATTTCTTCCAGCACAGCCCCCACCTTGTTATCCCTCACATCCGCCTTGTTGAGTTTATCAATGAGCACTTTAGCATCTCCTTCCAACCTAACCTCCGAAAAGCCCAACGTCAGACACCACACGATCGCCTCCCTGAGCACCAGCAATTCCACCACCATGGGGTCATCAATCAAAGGGAACTGGACTCCTCTAACCGCAAGGATCTCCCTAGCCGGAGTCATAAGAACCATCCCACCCGCAGAGTGAGAACCACCCCGCGTAGCCCCATCCCACATACAAGCCGTCCTAGTGTCCTCCACAGAGCTAGCAAGGGATGGCCCATGTATCAAAGATGGCGGCGACTGAGGCGGACTTGCTGAGAGACCCACCCACTCCTCATACTGTTGGTGGAGTTGACGCATCAAGGCCTGGATCCCAAACTGCTTGCCCTCAAAGACAACCCAGTTCCGAGACCGCCAAATTCGCCAAAGAATGACCACCACCTTCATGAATAAAGCCGGGGTATGCACCAGAGCTAAGAGTCTCTTTAGAAACAACGGAAAGGTATGCCTAGGCAATCCCTCGCCAAGGTAGTCCAGTCCCGAGTAGTCCCATAAGGCACGAGCCACTGGACACTCAAGAAAAAGATGCTCCAGGGTCTCCTTACCCTCCCAGCAGACCGGACATCTAGGATTAACCTCCACCTTCCTCTCCAAGAGAGCCTCCGTTGTTGGCAACGCACGGCTAAGGATCTGCCAAATAAAGACCTTCAATTTCGGGGGAATATTCGCATTCCACAATCGAACCCAGCTAGGCTTGTCCATCCATCCAACCACAGGCTTGACAAATTTCATTCAAATAACCAACTTTTGATTTGTTGTAGTTAACAAAATTAACAAAGAAGAACAAATTTGATCCACGTTACATAATTAATGTAAATAGTATAAACACATAATTAAATTATTTAACTATTCTACCATCAATAAAATATAATACATATCACAATTCACAATCTACTTTTTCCCTCCCACTTTCCCTTCCACTTTCCTCCATTAAACAACATTTTCTTTCCAATTCCCTCTAATTTCCCTCCCTTCCAAACTTAACCTCCCCTCCAAATTTTCCTACCCTCCCCTCCTTTTCCTCCCTTCCTTCATGAACATAGTGTAAAGAATGGAGATACAAACAAAGAAGAACACAAGACGATCTCCACAGTAAAATCCTTAATGGATCGATCCCAATCAAATCCTCTAGGATTGGGTTGCTGGAAAACCCATCTTTTCCTCCTCTCTAACGCGTGTTTAAGGTTTAAGATAAAAAATGGTTGAATGTACTAAAATATTTCTTTGTTTAGTTTTATTCTGTTGTAGTTTTTGCAGAAAATAGTTTTTGGCTGAAACTTTTAGAAAAGTATTTTTCACAAAATGCAGTTGAGTGTTTGACTGAAAAACTATTAAAAATGCTTTTTAATATAAGAGGTTATGTAAAATGATTATAAAAATATAAAATATGAATAAAAATTCTAAACGATAAAAAGTAGTCATTATGGATCTTGTTAGATTTATTTTATATTAAATAATATGATTTTAAAATTTAATTTATTTTCAAGATGATATAAATAAAGTACAATTATATTTTTTGAAATAAAATTAAAATAAGTTAACTATCTCAAATTCTCAATTTCCTCCACTTACTCTCGTTTCGTTTCAAGCGAAAGAAACGGAGGTTTTGCTTTTCCAGCCTTCTCCTAGTCCAAGTCTTGTTGGAGTTTGACTTGACCGTCCAAAAAAACCCTAGCCTAGTATAAATTCACGCTTTTACTCGTCTGTTATTTTGTTTCCTCCTAAATTCAATTTTACGGCAGCAGCTGGACCGTAGTAATTCTTAAGCTTCGCGTCCGAATTCCGCAGCCGGGGCCAAAAGAGGAAGAAGAAAGAGCAAGCGGAAGCAGGGAGGATGAAGCAGGCCGTGAAGCAAGCTGCGGTGGTGTTTGGGTCACTGGCCTTCGGATGGCTGGCCATTGAGATTGCTTTCAAGCCTTTCCTCGACAAGGCTCGTGCCGCCATCGCCAAGTCCGACCCTGAACACGACCCAGACGACGATGAGAAGCTGGACTCCTCCTCCTCCTCCGCCGCCGCTGCTAAAACAGAGTCTCCTGCCGATGGTGTCTCCTCCGACGTCACGCCGGCAGCCGCCACCGAAACAGCAACCGTGTAAATCCATTTAGAGCTTTACCCATACGAGTTGCGTGCGTAGCTTTAATTTTATCAGTTTGTGTCAGTTGAATAAACATACGCGAGTCGACAAAAGGATTTTGAGGTTTCCATGTTCATATGATCTGTTGTTCGATTTATGTCGTGGGTCTGAATTGCTTGCTGTGCTGTAATCTCTGCTTTGATTTTGCTACTATTTGTTAAACCCTAAATACATACTTCTCGGTGAGAATTTATAATGTATCCATGGATTTCCGAAACCCTAAATCCCCAGGCGATTGTGATTGAATCCTGAATTTTGCGGCCAAGCAATTTGAACCAGATCAGAGAGAGTTTTTAAGTTGGAGGCACAACACTGAAGTTCAGAAGGTGTTTAGGGTAGCGGCCCAGACTCCATGTTTGCTTGGTAGCTGCAGTTCAATGCGCCATGCTCGTTCTCAGCGGGTGCTCTGTGCCTGCAGGGGAGAGTTGTCTGTTTCTCCACCTGGTTTGATGATCATTGCACCTGCATTTTCTCTTCCTTTGCATATACAGAGTCCTTCAAACTAATCTTGCTCTCTGAACTTTCCTTGGTGGGTTGCGTCCAAGGTGAGTCATGACTGTTAAGAGTAAAACCCATGGCGTTTAGGCTTTTGCAATCATATAGCTATGAATGAGTGGACTTCTTCTTCTTTGTATGGTTGAAAGAATGAATTTGATCCCGCGACGAGAATGAAGTAGGAGAAAGAGTTGCAATCTTTAGGTCCAGCTTCCTTTGGTATCTGGTTCGCTAGCCTAGGGAGGTGGATTGTCTGAGTTAGATCATAATGGTTCTCATCTGAGTAATCTTCTTTATTAATCCGGCAGAAAAAGGGAATGTAGGATGGAAATGGCAGAAAAAGGGAAGCTGTTCTTTATTAATCGGGGTACAGTGCTTACAGCATCATCTCTGAAGACATCCTTACAGCACCTATAAGCGTCTATATCAACTGCTGCAATCATTCTGATAATTTTGTAAATAAGATGTCACATGTTCATGACATTCTTTTCATTCTACTTGCGGGAAGTACGTTTGGCAATGGGGCAGGTGCGGGTGGGTTTCTTGGTATCCAGACCTGCCCGTAGTAGTTCGGGTTCAGGTCGGATAATTTATCACGGGTCGCAGGTCGAGGCAGGTCGACTCAATGGGTATGTAATTTATATGAAAAGCATTAGAAATATTTGCTATTTTTATTAGAAAACCAAGAAAACAAACAATATTATGATAAATGTAGTTAGATTATTAGAGAAATTGAGGTTTTTACCAATTTACAGCTTTACTATAGCTAAATTATGATGTAATAAATTTTTTTTTTTAAACAATTTGACTAAGATTACATGTAATTTATGCAAGAATAGGTCGTGAATGGGGCGGGTCACGGCAGGTCGGGTCAATGAGAGTACTCATGCCCGCCCCGCCTATGGGCCTGCCCCAAAACAGATCAAACAGATCGAGTAAAACAGGTTAGGTCGAAATTGCCAATATCTCGTGGGAAAGTTGTATGTTATTTTCTTCTCAGTTAAACTTCATTCCTATGGACAAGAATGGTTTGGTGAATTTGATGATGATTCGACCAGGGAAGGGCATTTGGAGATAACCTAGCTACCTTCAGCATTAGTACGTGGCCGAGAAGAGCTATGAGAGTAGGTGACCATTCAGGCACACGCATATAACTCAATCGGTAGGTAATCAACAAAAGTTTTACTACGGATACTAGTGTGGTCCCGGCCAGTTGGCCGGAGAAAGGTGAGGTATGAAATTTAATAATGTAATGTGATGTATAGCTTATTGTTGTATAGTTTTTTTTTGGAAAAAGTGATAAAAATAGTGAATTTTAGTAGGAAAGATACATGAATGATGCAACGAATCAAAAATCAGCCTTATGAACCAAAATCAAATACCTGTTACCTTGTGAAACAATATTGTTTCTGGTAATATGATGAGGTGGAGTAAGTTTTAGAGAAACCGAATTCCAGAAAATCGAATAAAAAATCGTTTTATCCCGTCGGTTTTCGGGAAATGAACATCTCACAATCGTTGCTAGCTATTACTCGGCCCGTTGGCCGATTAATTTGCTTTATAAAACTTTCATCTTGGCGTCATTGTGCTTTCTGGTTTTTGACAGGCCATGATAAAATCTAAGGAAATCAAGAACGAACAACACGATTTGGGATATGAACCGCTGTTGTCGTATCCCTAGAAAATGGTGGTAAACACGGACTCACCTGCCAAACTGGTTTGGATTGAGATTTTTATCGGGTATCAGGGAACCATGTGATTATAAATTAGACTTGATCAAAACGGGCCAAAACTTGAAATTCAGCCTGTTTGACCGACCCATGCCAAATTCTAATTATTCTTTACTTTTAAACTTTCTATTTGAAAATAAAAGGTAGTGAAATAAAAGAGATGACTGCAATTCGCCATTTGCACATCACTTATTCGGGAATAAAACCATAGAAATTCAAAAGGAACTGAAAATGTTTAGGATCGTTTTAATGTTTAAAATAACCAAATAGATATTTCTGTTTAGTTTTTTACTAACAAATATCAAATGATTCCCTATAAAATACACTATAATTTGATCATTATGATATCAAATAACTATATCATATATATTTGAAATGATAAAAATTGGACTAATTGGGTTGGTCGAGGTTGAACCATTGAATAACTTTGAAATACATTATATTTTAGCCACTAAGATATAAAATAATAGCATAATATATATTATGCCAGAGAAAATAGCTTGTTTTAGAATGTCAAACCAATTATGTTCATTTGTTTTACTTGATGGCCAAATGCCGTGTAGGTCAGGCTCATTCAACTCTTTTATTTTATGGTTAGCGGTTAGGCCATTAGATACCATGCATTAGTTTATTGTTAAATTTTTTATTTTTAGCAATAAAAAGAAGTATTATTTTTGCCTTTTCATATATATTTTATCACCACGAAGAAATAAAAGGGCTTAAAGAAAAAAATTGACACTCCTGGACCCGTTCAAATCCGCATGTGTACGGTAAGTTGGCCCGTTCCACAGAGGAAAGAGAAAAAAATTGGCACTCCCTATTCTACCCTTCCTACAAACGCTTCCGGAGCAGGAAATTTGAAATGGGGGAATGGTTTTTTCCTCCCTGCTATTATATGTTTTTAATTTAAAAAGATACAACAAATGTATTTAGTGTGATTGGTTATGATCCTTGCTTTTCTTAAAAATGGTCATGGTTCGAATCCCAGTACGTGTCTTTTTAATGAATAAAAAAAAAGTAATTGTGAAGACCAAAATATCCTTCCTACTTTCACTCTCATTGCAGGAAATTTGAAATGGGGCTCCCGTTTTTCCCTTCGGCGTATTATAAGTATAGTAGATTTAAGGATTATCAAAGTGTATTAGAAGTTATGCTGGAAAAAAAATAAGTGATACACTATTTTAAACTAAAAAATAGTTGTTTAATGTTTACCAATTTGAATCCAGAACGATTTCTAAAACTCTGCATAGACCAGGACCTTAACAATTCACGTTATCAACTCTCAAGAGATTTATCTCTTGGAGCCGTGTCACAAATTCTTATCCCATCCCTACTCAAAAAGTTCTACCCATCCTGGAGGATTGCGGGATGATAACTTAAATTATTTCAAATATAAAATAAATAAGCTTATCTCGTAACGACAATAATATAACGACGTGTCAGGACCTTAGCAAAGTTCCAGTGCCTCGAAATGTCCAAAATTTACAAATAATACGAAATAATAAAGATCAGAAATTTCGAACCAACCCTTCTCCTTCTCCTTCTCCTTCTCCTAACCCTCCACCATTATTTAGCTCAAACTCAATAATAATACTCAGTGATAGGGACCCATAACTGATCGCTTACCTTCTTCACCCAGATCACCAGTTATTTTGCGACTTCAACCTTCGCCGTCGCCTTCGTCTACCCATCTCCCCGAATTAGTCCCATAAATCTCTTGTTTCCTCGTTACTCATTAATTTCCCGGTGGTTGGTCTCTGTCTCTGTCTTCGCCGGTTTCCGGCCGTCTTCATTTTCGATTTGTTTGTCTCTCTGTCTGTCGCAAAATCTGCCCAGGTTAGTCTCTCTCTCTCTCTCTCTCTCTCTCTCTCTCCCCCCCTACCGTCTTTTAGCCTGATTGGAGCTGAGCGTGGGTCTCTGTTTCTTTCATTCTTCAGATGGAACTTGTAGTTCGATTCCCTCATTGATTTCATTTGGGGTTCTGGAAACCCTGTGACTACGTACTGAGAAATTAGGTCTGAATTGATTGATTTACCCTCACTTGCATGGTCCTTGGGCGCGGAATTCGGATCTTTGGTTCCGGTTCAGAGAAACTGTGACGTTCTTTCTTGTAAGCACTTTGTGGGCATTTCTAATTTGTGGGTTAGCTATATCACCGATGCTTTAGCAGTATCCAGTGGTGTGTTTAGGCGTTATTAGGTCAGGAAGCCTACGGGTCCACCAAGAGGAAGGATGAGCTATCCCAGAAAGCATGCATCTTTCTGGATTTCTTTTGTCAAGGTTGGAGTAGTACGCATCTTAGATGAGCTCTTTTGGTATTTGCACCTTGGTGTTGAATTGGGTTGGACTGGTGTCTACGTTCGCCTGGGTGGTCATTTTAATGATTGGCACTTGTTCTTTTTGAATCTCGCTTGTCATTTACGTTGTCATTTTGTAGAATCAATGCATTCATGGTAGACTGGTGTCACTTTCTTGTTCGTAAGTAAAGTCGTATTCACTCCTATGAATGAGATGATGATATATCACACCATATCACGTAAAGTTTCTCATGTGCATCGCAACAGAGTGAAGTAATATGTCCTTTTAGTTCAGGTTCCGATTTGTTTTCTTAACTAGGAAAGAATATGGATGTGTATGGCAAGTTTCTCTGCATGTGCGAGAACAGTGGTGCTTGCATCAGGATAGAGAGTATAATAGGGCTAACGTACATTCTGAGGGTTAAGTGGCCTGCTTTATATCTTAAGTAGCGATTCTTGTAAGTTAGACTAGTTCGTAATTTTGAGTTACATTTGGAGACAATGAAAGAAAGCTCATATGTGATCACGACGAGTCAATGGTCTTTCAAGATGTTTTGTGATTCTCTAGAGAACTTATGTTCAGAAGGTTTATGTTTTCCTGTAGGTACCAGGAGTTTGCTAAGCTAATCCTTACTAACCTATGACCTTGCCTGTCGTACAAGTTGACAGTGTGGCTTCATTAAGCAGTGATATCTTCTACGATATATTGAAACGACTCGATGGCCCTACCTTGGCCAGTGCAGCATGTGCTTGTGCTGCATTTTGCTCTATCTCAAAAGAGGAGAAACTGTGGCAAGATGTTTGTTCTTCTTTGTGGCCTTCAACCAACAGGGATGATGTGAAGACTTTGATACTATGGCTAGGTGGATTCAGGAAATTTTATTCAGATTGTTTCCCCCTGATAGTCAACAAGGAGTTCTCCGAGTATCAGTGGCAGGAGTATCTTCAGTACCCTGAGGAATGGGCCGAAGCCGAGTACTATGGCGACATAGATGAATCCGAAAGTGTATCTCCCTCAGATTTTGTTTCTATTGTCGACATCAGGTACAAAGATAGAACAATATGTTCCAAAGTCCTGTGGGGGATTCCAAATGCCGACGGATCCAATGGCTGGTTTCACAACTGCCCTTTCCGTATCGATCTGCTTACTTCCGCTGCCAGGGATGACGACGACAACGAGGGAGAAGTTTTCCTTTCAGTTAATGATGGTCTGCCACCAATTGTATCCATGGAGAAAGAAAGAAAAGATGGGAAGCTATGGAAGGAGCTTCGTGACGGACTAAGGCTTAGTTGGATAGTTGTCAACACTAAAAGCAAGCAGGCTGCCAATCTAGCAAGCTGGAGTCCTCTTGGTGGACAAAGGCACTGGCCAACCGACAAGGATTTTGTAATCCGGTTTGGCTCGGTCCTTTCTGCCAGGGATATCCTTCCATGTCAGGTTGTGAAGTGCATCCTCGTGATGAAGTTCAGAGTGATCCACACGGAAGGAGAGGGTTTCCAGACAACACTCAAGCTGACGGAGCTAAGCATGCAGTTGGAAGACATGGAAGGTGCTCATGTGAATGGAAGGAACAGTTTGCTTATACTGAAGGAAGCACTGAGCTGCAGACGTAGCAAAAACTACAGCGAAGTTCTGGAGTCGTGTAATCTGTACTCGAAAGTGCAGAGCGAGTTGAAGGAAGAGAAGATGAGGAATGAAAGCAGGATAGATAGGTTTTGTATAATATCTGGGATCACAGCTTTTCTATCAATCTGGTACTACTTCCTCTGATGGCAGCTAATTTAGAGTATTGAGTTCGTTGTGGCGCTCTTGTTTTTTCCGTTCGTTTCTGCTTTCAATAGTTGAGTTTTTTTTCTTTTCTTTCTTTCTTGTGAGATCCGTTTTGCCACCAGATAATAAAGGAGTACATTCCCACAAAGCTTTTGATGTTCGGAACAACCTTCGCAGACTTAAAACATTGTTGCCGACTTTTCCTACCCCAGCATGAAGCTCTTTTCTAGGAACAGCACTGCTAACCAGACGTTATTTGCGTGCTGATAGAGATCGACATATTTTGAACCACTTTTTAACGAGACCCGATATGATGCTAACATTAGAGGTATTATAGTAACTATTACTCATAATAGCATCTTTCTCTGTCCTGTCTTCCCGGTTACTCAGTAGCAGAGGTGTCAATATGGGGGTTTCAGGTTGGGGCAATCAGATTACGGGTTAGTCAGATATTGGGTTGCAGGACATTTAGGTTATGATTGATCGGGTTACGAGTAAGTCGAGTTGCGGGTCAATTGGATTACGGGTTGATCAAGTACGGGTTGCGAGCGGATCGAGTTGCGGGTTGTTTGGGGCGACACATTATATTGCTTACTCTTTTATTTGTTACAAGTTTACAACTCACACTTTATTTATTACACTAATTTCAAACATTTTTCACAATTTTGAAATAATTTGTTTCTAACTCATATTCATATAGGGTAAATACCACATTTGATCACTGGAATTACTAAATCGTGTTATGTCTAGTCACTAGAAATAAATAGTCAATTTTGGTCACTCTAATTACTATAACAGGTCACATTTAGTCACTCTCTCGTTCGCCTCCGTCCAACTTCGAGGACAATGGTTGGTTTCTTCTTGTGCCCAGTGTATTGGCCTCCCCACCCATTCAAAGAGTTCTTCCACTCCCAGTGCATGCGGTCAATAAAACCAATCATTCCTGAAAAGCCCTGTTGTGCAACATGATGAAGGAGGCGACGAGTATCTTCCACTGTTGGTGCACGCAAGCACTGAGCACCATAAATGTTGGTGATAGCCGAGCAGAAATTCCTAAAACACTCCAATATGGTGCTCTCACCCATTCTACAAGTCTCATCCAACGAGTCAGCTGAGCATCCATTTGCAAGCATGCGGAAAACACTAGTAAGATTTTGGTGTGGGGAGAATGAGTCATGACCTGCACAATCTTTTCATTCCTTGGAGTAGACATCATAGTTGACAACATCATTCATGACCCGGTTGAATAAGGCCGGTGCAGATGATATCGTCTTGTGAAGGCTTTGGCATCGTATGTTGGATTTGGGTTGAAGTTATCTAACATCAAGCGCTTGTGATAGTCTTCCTTGTTGCGCTTCACTAATTTTCGTGATGATGAACTACGACGAGAAGATGTTGGTTGTTGTTCACGCATGATTGTTTCGTGAACATCTCCATACGTTCATGCTAAAGTTGACACCCATACTCCCATTACATGTCAACAGCTTCCCTTTCCCTCTCATCAGCTTCCCTTTGCCTCTCATAAGCTTCTCTATCAGGGGAATCCATGAAGGCAAAATTGATTCCTTCTGCAATAACGATCAAAGCTTTTCTTCCAGAGGTTGATACAACTCTACATGATTAAAGTTGAATGAACAGTTGGTGACACAACTCATTTTGTTTAAAGGTGAATGGACAGTTGATGACACAACTCGTTCTGATTAAAACTTAATGAACAGTTAATGGCACAACTCATTCTAATTAAAGCTTAATGAACAGTTGATGACACAACTCATTCTAATTAAAGTGAATGCACATTTGATGACACTACTCAATCTGACAAACATGTGCAGTGTCTATGGTCATTTGAACAAATTATTGTGCTTTCGTCATTAATTACATCATATTTATCGATATTTTTTATGTAAAAATATAAACAAATTATATTAAAATGTTCTTCTTAATTAATTATTACTATCTATAAACAAAGAATCTACAAACTATCTAATTAAAATGATGAAATCTACACTAAACTAGATTATCATTAAAAGAAAAAAAATTGATTTGCTTATTGAAGCAAAAATCACTTTTATGGTGCCAAAATGCTAAAACCATTTGAAATTCTAGTATTTTTTCAATTTGGTGTTGGAGATGATCTATGACGTAGCGTCTTCTTAGACCTTGGTTCTTATAACATAAAAGCATAAGATATTTTTAAGTACAAGATTAACTTTACTATTTTTCAAACTATTTTCCAGAAACATAATTTACTTTCGTTCAAATTATTTTGAAGCTAAAATAAATTGAAATAAATATTATTAATGCACAAAAATAAATAGATCAATTTTGGTTATTTTTTATGAATATTTTATATAAGAATCATTTTTAGTTATTTTACAAGACTTTTAGTATAAAAAGTATGTATAATAATCTATCAATAAAAAACCCCCTTTTTTTTGAAAAACTTCAACTAGTTGTTTGTATAAAATCTACAACACGGCCAAACTTATGGGGGATATTGGGTTAGGCGGTTAGCAGTTCATCGATAAACTAACCAATAATCTACGGTTAACAGTTAATATCGTTAATCAACTACAAGTTAACAGTGCGGTTATCGGTAGGTTGAAATAGTTTTTGGAGTAACCGACAATCGAATAGACGATTAACGATTAATCCCCACACCCCCCACCCAAAAAAAAAAACTTTCCAACTTCGAACAAACAATCTCCTCCCCGTCTCGACCCACTTCTTCTTTCCTCAATTTTCTCCTAGCACGAGCCCTAAGATTGAATGAGATAAAGAGCAACGTCGATTTTGCAATTGAAATAGAGGATTAAGATTGGATTGAGAAGATAAGATGACTTATGCTGGAGGAAAGATAGCAAAGAACACTCCCAATTTCTTCCATCAATGGTTTCCTTCACCAAATTCACACTCATCACTCTTTTCCGGGGGAAAGTTAATATGCTAACTTGAAGATTCGTTAGCAGATACTAACTGATATCCAAAATACATGAACTAATATCCAAGTACTAAAGTATCTAGAGAGCACAGACTAGTATTCAAAGTTTGCTAACTGATATCCACCATGAATCAACAATTATCCCAAATTCACAAACTAATATCTTAACAACACAGAATAGTATCCAAACATCACATAATTAGTATCTAGATAATACATAAGAGTATCCAGATAACTCATAAGAGAGTCCATATTGAATACTAGTTGGTTGATTGTGGATATTAGTTGGTATCTGCTATCTGGATACTAGTTTGTGATGTTTTGAATACTAGTCTGTACTATTTTAGATACTTAGCAAACTTGGATATTAGTTTATACATTTTGGATATTAGTTAGTATATACTAATGAATTTTCAAGTTAGCAGAATAACTAGGCTGTTCGCTCTTTTCCTTCCTCTCTTTGCTTTATTCTTTCAGTCACAATAAGAACAACAAGCCAAACCCAAATCAATAATAAAAATATTATAAAAACACATACATGTGTAAGGAAAAATCTACAAAAATGCACGATTGAAAAAAAAGAAGATAACCTTCTGTTGATCCGATTATCCATCAGTTATTTTTGTCTATTAACCCACATAATAACTCATAACCACCTATAGGATTATAATTAACCGACTAATATAAGTGGTGCGGTTATTAATAAACAAAAAATAGCTTAACGGTTAACCGACAATCGAAAAAACAAGTACTATTATAACCAAATCAAACATACTAACAACCCTAACCAAACTAGCCTTAGTTACCGATAAGCTACTTATTTGTGAGATTCGCATCTTGATTTCTTGGCAATCCAAGCAATCCATCGACAACAGAAATAAAATAACACCAAGTGTGAATCTGATAAGGTCCAAGGTGTTACAATGCCTAGATACGAGCCAAACAAGAAAATCATGCAGATAATCCACAGAATAAATGCCATACCTCAGATCTAGAAATTCACTTTTAATAATATAAAATAAAAAAATATATTTTATTCTATTTATACCCCTGAACTTATTAATGCCTCTAATTTCAAACTATTTCACCCCCACCCATTTGTCGAGATGGAATGTGTTAATTAATTAATTAACAAACACACTACTAATAAATAATAATCATTAGCAGATAAAAAATTAAAAAACCCAATCTCACCCGTTTCCGATTCCATTCACAAAACTACTTGGAACATGATACCTTCCCCGTAAAAATTTCCTCCCACGCGCCGGCATCTCAACGAGTCAAAAATTCTTCCTCTGAGTGGGAATGGAGAGCTAGAGCTAGAGAGAGAGAAGCACATCAAAATCCAATCCAACCCAACCCCACGACGAATCCTTGTCTGTCCTCTGTCCTCCAATCTCTCTCCCACTTCCCCACCACCACCGCCGCATACGGCGCCAAAAGAAACTACAACCACAACCCGCCGCCGCCCCCCTCACCACCACCACTTTCCGTTCTTTTCTCTGTCCTCCTTCTTCCGGCGAGAAACAACTACCGTACTGCTGTTTTCAACCCAGAGAAGATAGAATGCCTTTTCCCCACTCCCTGCTTTACTCCACTCTGCCCCACCACCACCACCATCCAAATTTCATCAATCGAATTTGAAAAAGCAAACTCCTTTTCTCTCTCTCTCTCTCCGTCTTTTTGACTACCCAGTTCCCAGAAGCTGCTTTCGGGTCTCCCCTTCTGCAATGGCGATTCCAGCAGCAGGAACTGACCCAGCAGCAGCGGTGGGTCACTGGGATTCGGCGGTCAAGAAGATGAAGCGGTTCAACCCAGTCGAGCCATCTGTAGGAATCCTCGGCTTCTCCTTATTCGCTCTCTTGCTCTTCGTATTCTGCTTCTCCTCCCGCTCCGGCGACCACCGGGCCGTTTCTCCGGGCTCCTGGCCCAATTACCAATCCGGGTCGATTCACCGGGTCGAGTTTCTGGACGACGATGGGAACAGCGGATGCGATGTGTTTGATGGCAACTGGATTTGGGATGACAGCTACCCGCTCTACGAAAGTAAAAATTGCGCCTTTATTGATAGTGGGTTTCGTTGCTTGGAGAATGGCAGGCCTGATAGCTTCTACACCAAGTGGCGCTGGCAGCCCCATCGTTGCAATTTGCCCAGGCAAAATTCTGTCTCTTTCCATGCCTCCCTGAATTTTCCTTTTTCCCCACGGCAAAAGTTTGAATTTTTTTTGCTGCTCAATTGACAATGACAGATTTGACGCGAAGGTGATGCTGGAGAAGTTGAGGAACAAGAGGCTTGTGTTTGTGGGCGATTCGGTAGGAAGGAACCAGTGGGAGTCGCTGCTCTGTATGCTAGCATCTGCGGTTCCTGAGAAATCAGAACAAGATTCGGATTCTGAATTGATTTATGAAGTGAATGGGAACCCGATTACGAAACACAGAGGGTTTCTGGCGTTTATGTTTAAGGAGTACAATTGTACTGTCGAGTATTACAGAGCGCCATTCCTGGTTTACCAAGGGAGGCCTCCTTCAGGAGCCCCAGCAGGGGTGAGGATGAGTTTGAGGTTGGATAAATTGGATTGGACTTCACGGGGGTGGCGGGGTGCCGATGTTTTGATCTTCAACTCTGGGCACTGGTGGAACTATGAGAAGACGATTAAAGTGTAAGTTAGTATGTATGGCATTGTGTAGCTTGAATTTGTTTATGGGGGTGCCATTTGTTCTGCATTTGCTGTTTGAATGTGTGTACATAGTACTCTATACGTGACTGAAATGTTTGCGTAGTTGCGGATTTAGTGCGGTTGGAGATGATCACTATAGAGGCAGGAGCTCATTTAGTCAGAACTTATCGTCTGTGTTTGCATATTGTTTATCCCATATTGCGAAAGTTCACTACTTGCAGTGTGAAGCGATCATATGAACTTGAAACATAGAGGAGGTGGATTGTTTGCTTATGTTATATGTTGAAGATAACTATGAATGTGTCTGAGCTTCTTACGGTTTGTTCCTGTTTGTTTGTCCCAACTTTTCTCAGTCTTTGTGCAAACTTTCGCCTATGAAGTTGAGCACTCTTCTCCCGTCTTGCAATGCGAATCATATCAGAGTTTAGAGCCATTTATGTATGCCTTTGCCTACTAAAGCACTTTGGTAGAAGAGCTTCCCTAACCATAGAATTCTGTCATTTGTTTTAGGGGTTGCTATTTCCAGGAAGGAGAGGAGATAAAAATGGAGATGAGTGTTGAAGATGCGTACCAGAGATCAATAGACACGTTGATGGACTGGATACACAGAGAAGTAGACATGAACAAGACTCAAGTTTACTTCCGAACATATGCTCCTGTACATTTCAGGTTTCTTCTTGTTCACATCTCATATCATCATCTTGCTGTGTCCTCTGTTGTCACTCGAGTTGTTCATTTTGGCTCATTGTGGACAACTATAGATAATTATGCAACCCTTTTCAAACTGAACATACTGCAAATGTGCTTTTTCTAACGAACCCAATTCTGGTTTGCCAACCGATTTCGGTAGGTCTGTGCTTAAATCTCTCATCAATTAGTCAACTAGAGAAACACAACATCTGGTTGATTATGATACAAGATGAATTCTGTGGCCCCATTGTCTTTTTTTCCAACCCGAGCCAAAGCCCTCATCAGAATTCCGAAAACTTTCAGTAACTTGCTTGAGGAATATCAAATCTCTCCACAGTGCCTTTGGATGAGTTTCTGTACTTACTTTCCTGCACTACTCTCTACTTAAATTTCTATTCTTTCAACTGATATGCAGGGGCGGTGACTGGAGGACTGGTGGTACTTGTCATCTGGAACAGCTTCCTGACCTGACCGCATCCTCCAATTCATCAGATTATCGATTTAAACTGCTACTCGATACTCTCTCAGCCCATTCCAATGAATCATTAGCAACGAAACTGAGCGTTTTGAATGTTACGCCCTCAGCAGCAAAGAGGAAGGACGGGCATGCATCCCTGTACTATCTGGAGCCAGGGGTAGGCCCTGCCGCAATCAACCGTCAGGATTGCAGCCACTGGTGCCTCCCTGGTGTTCCCGATTCTTGGAACGAGCTCCTCTACGCGCTTCTACTCAAACGTGAGGCTGTTCGCCGAGTGAACCCTTCAGAAATTTCCCAAGCCCCACTCTAATTGGCAATATCTATGGGAGTTGCCGAGTTGGTTAAGCCTTCTGGCATCATTTTTTTGGGGGGTGAAATGATTCTTCTGATGCTCTGTTGTCAACTACTGAGTACTGACAGCAGCTTGGGCATGAGATGAATCCGGCAATTGTTATAGCGCATCGAATGTGATGGACTGCTGGTGTTGTTCATATAGCTGGTTAGGCACATTATTTAACAAGAATGGCTGAGGATATAGGTTGTAGATAAATTCATAGTTGAATATAGAAGCATCATTTTGTTTTGTTATGCCTGGAGAGCAAATTGTACAAGAATTGAAGACCTGTTGGGAATAGGGGATATATATGGTGGTGCCATCTTTGTATAAACAGAACAGCACTGCACCCGTATATCTTGGAAGGTTGCTTGCTGTGGTCGTGGCTTGGGAAACTTTTTACTATTTAGAGAAGTTCATGGATCATTGATGTCAACGTACAAAACAAGAAATTTTGTCTAACATTAACAAAGGAAGTAGAACATGTGGATGTGGAATCCTGGTAGCTTTGTGGGAAGTCAAAAGCACGGCAGACATTCCTTTCTTGTAGATCACGCTACTGAGACCCATCTGTAAGAACTTATTTTTGTGATCTGAAATAAATGTTTCTTAATTAACGAGTCGACATTGTAGATTGTACTAAAATGCTGCCTGTCCAACCATCAATTCAAATCTTTCCATAACTGGAAAGTTAGAATGGAATCAATTCAAATATTTTCTTATGCAGGTAGCTACAATTGGCAAAACTACTGATCAGAGACAGCAAAAAAAGAAGAAAAGAACAGCTAAACTAGATGGATGATGATCATCGGTCGACCAACAAGTTGTTTCTCCTTGTGGTGGAAAAAGGCGGCGGTAAGCTAGCTCTCAAGTCTCAATCAGCTAGCTTTCTCATTGTGTCTTCATCTCCCTGAAGTTTCTCCACAAGTATCTTCCGCTGGCCATCTCCACGAACACCCAGAACCCATTCTGAATCACCTGGAGAAAAAAAAAAGGGACAAAAAAATATCAGAAAAAGGGTAATTTCTTCCTGGAAATCGCATAATTTAGTAACCATTAATATATCAATTTACCTTGAACATATTGGATTCCTGCTGCTTCTTGGCATCAGCCGTTGAATCGTTGGAGAAGTCGGCCTCGGCGAAGGCATCGGTGGAGGCGTTGACGGTGGTCCAGGCGAAATAGCCGGCCAAAGCCGCCGAGAAGAAGACCAAGATGAAGCGCAGAGGACACATGGTGGTAAACAAATTTCTCTTGCTTTGAGCAGGAACAAGAAGAAGGGTTTTGAATGGATGTGGGGTTTCTTCTGGGTTTAAATCAAAGTTTCTTATCTTTTGAGTGAGATTCTGGGGGTTGGCGGTTATGGAAGGAGATGACAAAAAAAAAAAAAAAATTGGGCTGGCTGGCTGCTGGTCTGTTGATTCTGTTTTATAAACAGGGGGTTGATGCCAACGAAGAAGAAGAAGTAGTTGGTGGCTCTGGTTGTGTGGAATGGCGTCTAATGTCAACGAAGTGAGGGGGTTGATTTTATAACCTACTCAAAATATTGACCGTTTCCTTTCTGGATTGAAGGGAACCTGCTCTGCTCCACGTTGTAATGGTCTATACTTTTCTTTTTGGTTTGTGGATGGAAGGGAGGCCGGGCAGCAGATAGGATTGGTTACTGACCTATCAGTATTAAATCCGGACCGTAGATCTAGGGATGATATTATTATATTGTTGGGCTGCACGTGGAGTGAGGAGGGGCATTTTTGTCCGATTTTTGAAATTTGATTTCTTTCCTTTTTTTTTATTTTTTCCAGCATTTATATGTGTTGTCTTTTAATGGAGGAAAGAGAAAAAGCAGACTTTTCTCTTTCTCTCTCTTTTCTCTTTCTTCCTTTCTCTCTTCCAAAATTCTTTTTCCAGATCTAAATCTCATTTCTTCTCTTGTTCTTCATTTTTTTCTCCAACAATCGATGAATAAATTGCAGCCTCCCACTTCAAATTCGGTGAGGCTCCAAATCCTTCTACTCTCAAGCTGCTCCTTCCTTCTGTTTTTTTCTTTTATTGGCCTCAAAATCGATGATGCTCCGTATTGTCAAAGAGGGGACAGATCTAGATGAGTTGAGTTTGCATCTTTTGTGTTTTAGTATTTGTTTGTGAATTAATTCCGATCTTCTTCCTCTTTTTCTTTCTTTTTGCATTCGGTGTTCTTCATTGCGGAGGAGTAAATGACAGGAGACAGAAGACAAGTTTTTTTTCCCTCTTCCTCCTTCTGTTTCCCCTTCTTTGAGAATATATATTGAGATTACCACACTATACCATATGGTAATGTGTGTCGATACCATATGGTATTGACACATTACCATATGGTAATGTGTATATACCACACTATACCATATGGTAATTTGTATATACCATATGGTAATGTGTCTATACCATATGGTAATGTGTATATACCATATGGTAAAGTGTCTATACCATATGATAAAGTGTATATACCATATGGTAATGTGTCTATACCATATGGTAAAATGTATACCATATGGTAAAGTGTGGTAACGAAATGTATTTTTATGGATATCGTGTTTTACTATGGTCGTAAAAGGGTTATAATTAGATTTATATTATTTTTATATGGTTTTAACTTCTCATACCATGTGGTATTGTATGGTAATTACAATTAATTTGTGTTCATTCGATTAACCATGTTCTACTATGTTGGCATTGTATGGTAGTTAGATTTACCATATGTTGATATTACCACACTATACCATATGATATTGGGTGGTAACGAAATATATATTGATATTACCACACTATACCATATGGTATTGGGTGGTAACGTAATATATATTGATGTGACAAATTTTTTCATACTATATGGTATGGTCAATACCAGTCATTACCATATGGTATAGACTGGTAATAACTGACAAATTTTTTATGTATGAAAAATATCAAAGTGGATATCATTTTGAATAGCACAATTAATCTGATCTAACTGTGCAAAAAAAATTAAATTCCGACTTAAAACGAGTGAGAAATCGTCCGTTAAAGATTAAGAGAAGGAAAATTAAAGGTTGTTTGAGGAGAGAGAAGGCGCTGATGTGATCTGGTCAGCGTCAGCGCGTCAGAGACATCATTAAATAGGGGGGGGTTCAATTTTACCTTAGTGCCCCTCCGTATTTTTTTTAAATAAAAAGAAAAAGCTGACACGTGGGAGCTAGGGGAAGGGGTTACTGATGGTTACTGAGGTATTGGTTACTGAGGGGATCCGCTCCCGGGAGGCCGAAACCGGACAGGGATCCGAAAGGAATCCGAAATGGAAATAGTCAATCCATTTAGGTAGGTGTTGACGTGTTGTCATGGGTAGGGTAAGGTGCATTTTTCCAAACTTCACGATAATATTTAGCTGATGATAGCTTAATTATTAGGGGTGGTATTTGGTCGGTAACCGGTTATCGACTTTACCGATTTTTGGTATACCGAGTGTGGGTAAGTGGGAATCGATTACCGATACCGGTTTGTAAATGGTTTACTGGTTACCGAATTACCAGTAAACGGTTACAAATCGGTTTTACCGACTTACCGTGAAGAATAGCTGCGGACGGTTTTTCGGTTCGGTTTACCGGAAAATTACCGAACCGAATTTCTGGGCAATGGAGTGATGTTGTAATATTTTGATTTTTCTGAGTTTTTTTCTTCATTTTTTAATTAATAAATTATTATTAACTCTTATTTATAATATTTTTGAGGCCTATACTTACTTACTTCCATTCATGTATGTAATATTTGTGAATAATGAAGTATATGTTATTAGTTAATGCCTTAACTGGTCCGGTATCGGTATTATCGAATTATCGTCGGTATTTACCGATACAGGGCCCGGTAAACCGAGCTTCCCCATTTGACCCTCGGATACCGATACCAGTGGTTACCGGTTCGGTAAAACGGTAAACCGTTTACCGACTTACCGTTTGTCACCCCTATTAATTATTACTAGGTCAATGGTGTATTGTTCCGATCTTTAGTGCACTAGTTGTGTTGAAGCTAAGACTACTCGGATGTCTTTTTCTTCTAGTCCTACTGTTATTTCTGAGCCATTTCGCTTGATTCATACTGATCTTTGGGGGTCCGAGTCCTGTCACGTCTCGGCATGGGTACAAGTACTTTTGCTCTATTTGTTGACCTGCTACTCGTTACACTTGGGTCTATTTTCTGCGTCTCAAGTCTGACCTCTTGATTGTTGCCATCGAATTTATTAATATGATAAAGACCCAATTCGATAGAACAGTCCGTGTAGTTCGTTCTGACCCTGGGGGAGAATTAAGCTCCACTCCACTGCTCAATCTCTATAGTTCCCTTGGCATTCTCCTACCCCCACATGTTTGTCGACTTCCTCCGACTCCTTGCCATCCCCATCACCACCACAGGCTACTCCTCTTCGTCGATCACTTCGCTCCACCTTCGGCCAACCACCAACTCGCCTTCAGGATTATTTTACATTCCAGGTGGATCCTATCTCTGTTCCAACTCGGTATTCTTAGGCTAAGGGTGATCCTCGCTGGGACGGAGCTATGACCGAGGAGATTTCTGCTCTCCACGCAAATGACACTTGGGATATTGTGCCTCGGCCTCCTCCTGAGATTCCGGTGGTGGGTAGAAAATGGGTTTATGCGTTGAAGGTTCTTCCCGATGGTACTATTGAGCGGTTTAAGGCTCGCATGGTGGCTCAGGGGTTCACTGAAGAGTATGGTGTGGATTTTGAGGAAACCTTTGTCCCAGTTGCCAAAATGATGACTGTTCGTTCCCTTCTGGCTGTGGTGCTTTTCGTGGTTGACCTCTCTATCAACTCGGTGTTAAGAATGCCTTCCTTCATGGTGAGTTGAAATATACTGTCTACATGGAGTGCCCTCTTGGTTACGCCGGATACGGTGTGTTTACTTAAGCGCCCTCTTTATGGGTTGAAGCAAGCTCCCAGAGCTTGGTTTGATAAGTTTCAGTCAACTATTTTGGGGTTGGGCTTTACTCAAAGCCTTTATGATCTCTCTTTGTTCACTCGGCATACCTCGACAAGCATTGTGGTTTTATTACTTTACGTGGATGATATGATTGTCTCTGGTGATGATGTTGATGGGATTTCTGCCTTGACTAAGGGTCTGCATGACTCCTTTCACCTCAAGGAACTCGGCTCCCATTCGTACTACTTAGGCCTTGAGGTTACTCGTTCCCGAGAGGGGATTCTCATTAGTCAGCAGAAGTATATTGCCGATCACTTTGACTCGACACGGTTTGGTGATTGTACTCCGGTGTCTACTCCTATTGAAATCAACTTAAAGTTGGGTAAAGAATCTGGTGACTTACTGGCGGATGGGGGAAAGCAGTATCGCAGTATAGTTGGCAGTCTGATCTACCTGACGTCCACCAGACCTGATCTCTCGTATGCTGTTCAGATTGTCAGTCAGTTCATGGCTGCTCTTCGTACTGGTCACTTGGCAGCTGTTCATCGCATCCTCCGCTATCTTCAAGGCACTCGGACCGTTGGATTATTATTGTCGTCAGGTGGTTCCTTCGTTCTTCAGGCATTCTCCGATTTAGATTATGCTGGGTGCATTGACACCCGTCGCTCGACTACTGGCTGGTGTGTTCGATTGAGTGCTTCTCTCATATCCTGGCGTTGTAAGAAGCAGGATCGCGTTTCAAAGTCTTCCACAGAGGCCGAGTATCGTGCCATGTCTGACGTCACATCGGAGTTGGAGTGGTTACAACGCCTCCTAGGTGACTTTGGGGTGAGTTGTGCAGTTCCTATGGAGTTTTATGTTGATTATACCAGCGCCATTCGCATTGCTACGAACCCAGTTCTTCATGATCTGACTAAACATATCGAGGTTCATATTCATTACATCCGCAAGACTTGCGTGTAAAAGCTTATGGGTTCCACGTATAACAGATGAAGTTGTTGATAAATGCAACTTGAAGTTGACAATCATTCAAAACCAGTTCTTCGTTTGACAATAAATTCTTAGTACACTCAGTGCGAAGAAAAGATACTAAGCCGACTCGAATTATTCAATTAATTGAAATTGACTCAAAATGGAATAATTTAAAATTCTCTAACTTAAATCGATCCATCCAAATTTTCGGTTGCCAAACGAGTCAATTTAGTCCAATTGTCTCAAAACAGAGATGGAGTCAAATTATCCACTACCGCTCCTCATCAAAATAACTCCTAAGTTACATCTCTAAAGAGGTTATCACCATAAGTCCGTAACC